TCATGGTTCTGCTACTTCTCGTTAATATAGTGGAAGGTCCTTTCCCTGAGGATACTGTAGCTTGGAAATGGAAAACTTGGGCTTTACATAATGGAATTCATACTTGGGCTTCTGCATTCTTTCAGTTTGCCTTCATCCTTGAGTGGGTTCTTATTAACTTGTAGCTCTGCAAAGAAGAAGTAATTTAATGCTAACTGGGATGTACTGTTTATAGTGTAGGTCTGAGCAAGTTCAACTCAACCACATCCAAATCTGTAATAGGAATCAATCAGCTATTCAAATGCTTCAGGAAGAAAGTCAGACTTCAACTAGTTAACCTTCTGCTAAGACAGAGATTTCCTAGAGTCTAAAGGAAGCACTTTCCTTAATATCCAGTTACAGGCTTACATATGAGCTAGTGTTTTCAAAACACTGGTCTTAGGTCAGCTATTTTAACAACTGAATTTTGCTAAAAAGATTTATTTTCTGCATTTTGATAGGAATTAATATCTTTGACATGGTATCGGTTTAAAGGGTGGATATCAAAAATCCATTTCTTAAAACTGATTTATAGAAAATGGAGTGACAAAACCAGCACTATGCATAAAGCTATGAGTGAAGGCCAATTTAACAGAAATGAAAAGAAGTTAAAAAAATGTCTGGAAAACTATGTTGATTTTACCCTGCCACCTGAACTACTCTGGCAGCATTACTGTACAGTCTGTATTCAAACAACATGGGAATTGATCTTGCAGCATGTTTAATTTGGCGTCATGTCAATGAACAGAATGGCTCTCGACCTGAAATAGCATAGTGCTGATTTTCACTGCTCTAATACCTCTGAATCATTCCAATATACCCTACCTGCAATATGAAAATACACACTGCTGTTTGGGCAATTTTTTCCTTCATGTGAATTTTCAGGGAAGGTTTTGGATGCAATTAACTAAAGGCTTTCTGAAATTAAGTCATTAAAAACTGTATAGGTAAGAAGGAAATTCTGTGGGACGGACAGCTTTGTTGGGCGAAAGATGTCAGCAATGGAAATAATTTACAGCAATAAATGCTACAAAGCAGTCTTGGTCAATAACCTCTTTCACTAAACAGCTATCATTTTCTGTAACAGTCATAAGAACACAGTATTAAATACGTCTGTAACTTTACCTCTTTTGGGATCAATAAAACAGTCTATTCTGATGAAACTCTTAAAACCCATTCAGTATTTAATGAAGAGCATCTGAAAGTCTATTTCACTGACATTCTGTTAAAACTTAAAACTATTTAAACACGGTTTATCAGTTGTGAAGATTATCAGAAGACTACAGCACAAATTAACACGCCCATCAGGAATAGAAAGCCAATTTACAGCGAGAAGGTGTACAGGGCTCAGGAACTTGGTCACAGTATGGAGAGGCTGCATGGGGCCAGACAAAGGTATCTGGTTTAGGATGAGGATGAGGAAGATGAGAAGATACAAACAGTTGGAGAGGAGACTCTGTTCTTGAGACAGAAGATGAGGAAGTATCAGAGGCTAAAAAGCGAAACAAAGAGAATGATAAGGGTGTGGGGGGTGGGAAAGAAAAAAGATCCAACAGGGTTTAATGGACTCATGGATGCCAAAAAATGCAAAGCATTTATTTCACCATTCAGTAAGATGGGAATGGCTTCTACATAAAATAAATACCATTTCTTCTGAAAGCAACATAAAAAAAAACCAAACCAAAACTAAAAACTGTACTCATATATACTCTCCTTCCAAACTAGATTAAAAAAAAAAAAAAAAAAAAAAAAAAAAGACAGACTTTTTCCCTATATTCTAATGCATAAATTTGTAAAATATATTTAAGGGGAAATAAAGACCAAAGTTTAAAACTCAGCTACTATTGTTTCTTCCTATGATAAACTAAGTGGACTTCAACCAATACACAACAAATTGAATAATCTGTTTTTAAAGAGATTGAATGCAACTTACCTTAACCAAAATAGCCAACTGAGTCTCAAGTGGTTTGAATATGCATATTTGTTTTTGGATATTTATGAAATGTGCCTGCCTCCCTGTGAGATTTTACTTCAGTGATTGATTCATCAAAACTTTTTTTCCCTCCAGATTTATTTCCTTCATCAATATATACAAATATGGGTACATGCCACTCATAGCAAACCAGCTGAAATAGAAGGCAAACTTAAAGCAGATTTTCCAGTTATTGATCGGGGCATTAGAATTAGCAAATCCACAATACACTCTTTTGATACTTCAAAGGTCACACAAATTTAAACTTGCATCCTTTAATCAGTTCTGAATAGGGGATTGGTAAGAGCTCTATATAAAACTGGTTTTTAAGCCTTTTTTTTTTTTCTTCCCAAATTTCAACTGCTTAATTGTTACATCTAAGAAAAATAATGTTTTACACCCTTTACAGCTAGATTTTTTTTTTTTTTTTTAAAAAAGGATTTTAAAATTCAAATTGCAAGTACGTAAGACTCCTGATTTGAATTTCAGCTCTCATTTTTTGGAACTCTGGCCAAACTCAGACTAGACAGGCAAAGGGGATCAATATCATAGGTGGCAAGCAAAGCTGGGAAGGGGAAAATTTCCAAATGTTCATGTCTACATACACACATAAACTCATACACATGGTAGCATTACACTGTGTAAAGAGGAAAGGAGCAAGCATTTCTGTCCTAGGAGGATTTTCTGCCATATCCTTCCTACATACCCCTATTTTAACATTTGTTTATTTATTTATTTAAATGTCAAATTCCTTCTGCATTTCTAAACAATGGGGATCCACAGAATTTGCACATGAGCTCTTTCATCCTATAAGGGTCTAACATCTCAGCCATCTATTGTTCCTATCATCTATCTTTTTTGAACAATGTTTTTTAGATAGTCTGCTTAAAGTTTTCTCACTCAAACGTTATGACAAACTTGACTTCTTTTATTCCTATGGTACCATAACCTTTTAATTCCTGCAAAATTTGTATATAATCTGGATGAAGAATTTTGGACAAAACTTGGATATGCACCTTTTATATGCATACTACTATATAGATACAGTAGATAACAGTGCTCTAGTCCTTCCCAGAATTTTAGTATTGGTATTGCAACAAGGTTTCTTCTGCTAAAATTAACACTCAAAAAAAACCTAAACAAAAAACAACCCCAATCCCCCCAAAAACAGAAAAAAGAGAGGACACCCCCAACCCCATCCTCCACTGTTACCTTTTATAAGAAAACTAATCAAAATGGGACCCCATACTTTTAATTTCCCATCTTGTCCTCCTTGACAGTAGAGATAAGCTCTAACAATGCAGCTGAGATTCAGAAAAAAAGACAAATCGGAACTTCTAGAAAAATCAGAACATATGTATAGATCCCGTTCTCCAATCAAGATATCGGCTGCAGGATTTGAATCTGGGGCAAACTTCTTGAAAACTTGCTTTGGATGAGGGTTCATCTTTACTTAAAAGCATTGAGGACCATGAAGTCTTTAAAAAGCTCCAATTCATTATGCTCTCAAGTGTGGCAAATATTAAATAGGACACCCCGAAGATGTAGATCAAGAACTTTGTGTCCTCATGGGGGAAAAATAAACAAAACCCCACAACTAACCACAAAAACTCTCCCACAACAACCCACCACCCCAAGCAATTTTTTGAAGGCACAAAGTAAATTATCTCTATGTCTATCTAGATATGTATACGAAACTTTCAAAACCTAGTTATGTCCTTAAAATGAAACAATGAGCTAGAATAGAATATAGAATATATAATGTTATCTTTTTAATTATATGAATACAAGAAGACAGAGAATTCCACATTAGGGGCAGCAAGCTAAATTATGCCATATTTCAGACTATATCATGTTGCAATTCTTCGAACTCAGGTGATCTGATCTTTGTAATCAAAACTGTTTGCCACTATAGCAAGCACAGAACACCTTCTATTTACTTACATGATTTCAGAACTGAGTGAACATTTGATCCAACTTTAACTTTCAGAAGTATCTAAACTGGATTTTTCTCTACTGCACAGTTCTGACATTAAACAAAGAGATACATTTCACACTTAAATGTATCTTAATTTATGGGTCACTGTATTCTAATTCATAGGCTGGCAAACCTTCCCATAAACTCTTTGTGTCTAAGTATGATTAAACAGAAATTCACATCTGAAAGATGCCAGGAAAAGCATGCTATGGTTTAAAGATAAAAGCTGGGAAATGGACAATTCTCAATATCTAGAATGCAAGTAACATATTGTAAAGGTTTCTGGAACTAGCATCATCATGGTAATTCCTTCTGCAATTTTCACAGAATGCGTGGCTTACCTGCTTTTTGGTTGTATGACTTTTAAGGCATATCAGTTTGCATTGTGATAACTGAATATATTAAAATAGGCAAATTACATGTTGTCAATATTTACTGACGTGTAACAATCTTAGCTTTTACGTAGTGTACCTGTGCACCAGCATTTTTGATATGTATATCAAAATATCACAGTATACATGATTTGTAATATATAAATTTTGCTTATAATGTCAAAGCTATGTCTACAGTAAGCCAACCCACCCATGTAATTATATTTTAATATATATTTTAAATTTGAAAGATTTTAATTAGCAACAATGACTTCAGGTTTTTTGAGATTAGAAGTTTTCTGAAATTTTTCTGATTTACCTTTTAAAAAGAAAATATGTGCAAATATTAAATGGACAGAAAAGCACAGGACTTTGGCAAATAGGCTAGTTCAGCATACTAATTTTTAGCCCTTGCACAAGAAAATACCACTAAGGTCAGCAAGATCCATACTACAGATATCTTAATTTACAGAGAACGTGGTCAGCAAGTACTTAATAAATAAAAAAAAATTAACATATTATATTGCACAATGTCTATTTGCACTTACATGACAACAATTAAAATATTATTTCATTTTGCAAAACAAAACATAAAACTAATGCAAAATCTAGATATGGCCAGGCTTTTTTACCTGTTTTACTGTTCAAATGCAGTTCTTACCTGTTTCAGGATCGCTGAAATCTGGTAATGTAATTGTATTAAGCTGTCGTCTGTCAGCAATAGCTCTGTCTAACAGGCTGCTCCCACGTCCAGAATCACTGTAATGAAGCACAGAAATTGTAAGCTATTAAAATACAAAATTGTATACTAAGATACAAGTTGCATGCTGCCCTCCTCCCCCAAAGGTTCTTGCTATGAACAAATTTAGTACCAAGTACTTCTAACGACTCACAGTGCATTAAGCCAGCTGCATTAAAACAGAATTAAGCGGAGCAAAAGTAAATTCATAATTACTTCAGCAATTCTGTTTTCCTAATTAATATAACTACGAAGGGAATACAGGCTTTTAATCTGATTCATAGTGAATAGCTTTACAGAAAGGATTTATTGTACCTTGAACTTCTATATAATATGAGGAACAGCTCTCGCAGGAAGCAGAGATGGCAGATGTAAGTTTGAAAATCCGCTTTTCCCAGACTGAAGAGAAACACTAAACTCAGGACATCTAATTTTAGCACTCCTTTAACGTTCTATGGTTAATACTGTAATTTCATTTTTAGGATTGTAAGTCTGGTACAATTCACTATCAGTTAATACTCTTTTTAAAGCCTCATTTGAAAAAAAACCAAACGAAACCAAACCAAACCCCCACCTCGCAGACTTAAAGATAATTAAGCTTTAAAGCAATTGGACTGTTAGCCCAACTTAGCAGAGTGCAGACTTTGTTCTGACTCTCACTAAAGAGAAAAAACTCCATAAAATTCCTAGTTTAAAGTAAAGCTCGAGAGACTTTAATCTAAACTGCAAGACTGGAATTCAGTATATCTTTCCATTTGCCTTAATTTTAAAATCCCCTCCTGAATTTGAACTGAGAAGGACAAGAAGCCTTTCAGCAACTCTATAGTTGCACACTTCAAAAATCAGTTAAACAGCTTCCTCTCTTTATACAGCTGTTATTTAAATGGTGTAAATAAAATTTTGCATTACCCTAACATTATTGCATGACTGATTTCCTTACAAAATGATGCTACTATAGAAATCCACAGGAAAACGAAGGGAACTTTCTGGGACACACACTATCAGCTATAGTTGTTCCATCAGTTGGTGCCTATTTTCTGGTAACTGCTGTATTAATTACTTCCTCAGTCCCCGAGCAATGACATGCCAAATGCTGCTGACAAGGAGAGCCAGGCTTAGCATACATATCTCCTAAGCACAGCACTGACATTGTGGTTTGTTCTGCTTTCCAGATGCAAACTAAGGACTGGAAAGAAAAAAAATAAACTTCAAGCAGCAGGCTGAAGATAAACATTTAAACCTTCCAAGCCTTGCACAACAAAATAAGCTTTAAATTCATATTAGCCATCTCACGAGGAAGATGTTTTTATGACAATTAAAGACAAAAGAAAATTGATCTAAATCAGCTGAACAAAAGGCACGGTGTTGCATTTAGCCCTTACTTTGTGTGATATATCTAATAATACATAATTTATTTTCATGATTAAAAGATTATTGAGGACACCGAACACAAGATTATTCCACAAAATCTGATTGACTGCAAGAAGAAATATTTAACATAAAACAGAGCTTATCAAAAAACCAAGTTGTTATCTCATTGGGAAAATGATACATCAAGATTAGTTTTCAGTCTAAATCAGAAAAAAAAAAAAAAGTTGTTAACTGTAAAGGATATTTAAATCTTTGAAAACCAACATTCTAAAAAGGTTTAAAATTATTAAAAGACATTTTATTTTTGGCTTAAGGAACTATTTAAAAAAAGCTTCAATTATTTCCAGTGGGAGACAGTTTTCAAATGGTGCTTTTCAACAAAACGAAGAGTGTGTTCAAATTAGAGGCTGGAAAATTTAAGTTTTCACAACAATCCCGGATCATCATTCTTCACCACATCTGGAGTGCAGTTGATGAACAGAACTTCTCAGTCACATTTCAGGTCTGAGTGATAATTGTTATCGCAGTCAGACAGACTGGATCACTGTGAGACAATCTGAAGGTATTCAGGCCTTAAGTTTCACATGGACCATCCAAAGAAAGGCTGCAGACTGGTATCAGTATTCACTGTTTGATATAACCCTGCATGTGTGATTTGTGAAACCTGTCTGCTTCCATCATGATGCTTATCCATAGCTCCTGCCCATTCCATTGCCAATTTGATTTTGTTACCATAAATCAGAACTTCAAGAAAAGCTTTGAATGTCAAGATTTAAAAAGCTGTAAAAACTATCTGATGCAAAGTAGTTCTTGCTAATTTTTCCACTTAGGTGTTCTTGAAGGAGAATGGTGACATGAGAGTTAGCAAACATTGCTGTTTGAAGCTGACACAGCCAAGAGTAAGTTTTAATAGTCACTGCTGATGTCTGAAGGATGCATTGCTTAATGTGTATTTAACATGACACAGTAGCTCTTAGAACAACAACAACAAAAGTAATGACAAGCCATGACTGTCATTACAGAGCCCTGTAACTGCTATTACATCAGAGCCCTGATCTGTGTAGAGGATGCAACAGCAGAGATGGAAGGTGAAATATTGTGCTGCAGCACATGCAAAGCCTCACTGCAATTAAGCTTATATAGAAATTGTAACTACCCTGCACAGCACAGCATTCCCACAACTCTTAAACCTCCCCTCCCCACACACACAACCAGTCAACTCAAACCACCACCCACGAAGATAGAAGAGAAATTCTCTCCCAGGTCTCTGGCTGCTAGTTCAGTGACTTTGAGATGAAGATAATTCAGCTCAAATCTTTCTGGTTGCTTTCTATAATCCCTGCTCCACAGCGCAGTCTCTCTCAGATCAGAGTCTCTCTCAATGTGCTGTCACTGACTCAGGTCCCTTCCCAGGCTTTTCCTGCCAAACCCTCCAAATTTTCCTGCTCTGAACTGCTCACTAAGGAGAGAAGCACTTTTCCCTCTTTGGTCATTAGGCCAACTCTCTCTGAGATGCATGTGTTTAAATAACTGAGATCATATAAAGTAAAAGCAAAAGCTGAACAGATAAAGTTCATCATACTGCGATACAGGTATCGCACGCCACCTGGTACAAAGCTCTTCTGCTGCAGCATCTCTTCTCCAGAAACTGCCAACCCGTCAAACAACCAGAGAGCAGGAAATTCTATTGGTCCTCTTCTCCAGGTACTTGGTAAACATGCTGAATAGTACCAGCATGGATTTTGGCAAAGTGGCTTACCCATTTATTTCACAGCTTATCTAAATATATATGGCAAAGGACGTTCACAGAAGCATTCTGGAAACTCAGATACGACTCTATCAACCTATCCAAATATTTGTTAATGCCTTTGAAGAACCAAAATAGGTTCATAAGCAAGACCTCCCTTTAGAAAAAAGCCACGCTGACTTTGCAAGCACATCATATTTATCCATGTGATTTCTGGTATTTCTATAGTCTTAATTAACATCTAGTCCTCCTTCATTTTATTTAGTGGAAGTCCTTGAACTAAATTTCCACTACAGCAATCTTGCCACTATCTAATATAAAAGGCTCTGTAACCCCGATCAGGGAAAAAAATCAAGATGATACCAGTACATTGAGCCCCATCAAGGCGAATGACAGAATTACCCAATCCCTGTCATCACTCCTCATCACTGCAGAGTTTATTGGCTTTGCTGTACCTTACTCCACAGAACTCTCGGTAGTTTCTGCATGTCCATCAACTTGTATCTTTGTACTTCAGGCTCCAGATTCCCAGGGAATTAGTTTGTTCATATGAAATACCAGACCACGTAGAAGCAGGACTGCTGACCTAATATTGCCCTGAAAGGCTGCTGAGCAAGGTAGCAAACAGTCCAGAATTCTACAGCATCTTACCTTGGGTTAGTGAGATTGTAGCAGGATTTCCAAATCTGGAGCATGTGTTTACAGGTAAGGAGTGCTTCATCTGGGCCTCTGCACAGGGACTCCAATTTAACTTTTGTAAACAGTAATCTAGTGAAAACGGAAAGGAAATTAAGAGAGAAATAAAAGAGATTCCAATTCAAGCAAAACGTTGTTAAATATAGCCAACACCACAAAAAACAGGAGAAAACAACTTCAAAGACAGTGTTAATTGAAATAATTGTTTCATGAAATAATTACAATAGAGTCAAATGTCTAACATCATCAAAGTAACAGTGCTTTTTTACAAGATGGCATTTTCAACTGGACAAAACCAATAGTTGACAGATTTTTTTTTTTTTTTTAATTTTTTTAAGAAGACCATAGTGAAATTAGCAGGACCACTAAAAACAGTACTTCATATACTGAAGAGAAAAGAGATGTCTTCACTAAAGAAAATATTTACTACTTATATGAGAAATTAAAGTATTTTCCATTAACTGGCTCAGATGATAGTTATCTAACATATAACTCATGAAAAAACCCAACTCAGTACTGATGCAAGTTAGTTCCCTATAATATCAACTTCTATCATAGGAAATGGAAGAGGCTATACTGAAAAAGATACCACTAGACCAGATAGATTCATGGGAGGTAGTCAGCATTGGTAAGGTCAACAAGAAAATGTAGCTCCACTCCACATAATGTTGCCATCAGCAGGCACTAAAATTGATGCTTGACTTGAATTTTCAACATTTACAAGTGACAACCTGAAGAAAGCACACAATTGATCAAATACATAGCAAACTATTCATAAGGGAAGCAAACATGTTTGCCAGAAGCCACTACAAATTAGTTCTGATTTCAAAGTTGATGTTCCTAATGGCAGCAAGACAAATAAAGTGCATAGCCTCATAAAATGACAACTGCATATTTCTTTTACATTCCATGTATCAGCAGAAGGTTCTCCACAGAGATTGAGTAGCTTAGACACCTTCCTGGATAATTAAAGAATATAAATGCAATGTGACAATAGAGGAGCTAGTCAATTGGTATGCACATTTATAGGACTCACAGCATCTGGGAACAGATAATACACTAGAAAAGTACTAATTTAAAAGCAGTTTTTAGTAAATTGCAAGATTAAAGAGGACAAAGCAGGAGGAGAGTATGCATGTAAAACTGCTAGCCTACTTTCTGTTTTTAAGCCCAGGTGTACTTTGGCATTTTATTCCAGCACAACCTTAATCATCCTAAGTGAAAAAGTTGTATGACTGGTCATATGGTTTGCGTGGGAAGACTGAGAAGGGTGTACAGGGTGGGCATGTGTGAAAGCTCAAAACTTTCTTATCCCAAATACAAACTTGAAGGCTGCTAATAGTAACTGCAAACTGCCAGAGGGTTTTCTCAAGAATAAGAAATGACATCAAATGCCTCAGCAAGTTACAGTAGCTAAAGCTTTAGTGTTGCACTGAACGTCCTTTGCAGAAACTACCCGGCGTGTAAATCTAAAAATGAATATACTACCTTAATTGTGCCATATATTTGTTGGTGAAACTGGGGAGGAAACGAAAGGCAGGTCACTGAGTTAGTTTAAGAGAATGAGCACCTGTGGATAAGCAAGGTAAATAAGGTTATATGGAGTCTCACCTGGTGTTTTGCAGGAATGCAGAACAGAGTAATCAGTTACATTAGTTTAGCTTTTTTCCTATCAGTAAATCAGATTTGAGTATACAGAGAACTATATAGATAATTTAAATTAATATTTCATTTGGCAGAGTGGTCCTCTGTGTCACATTTAACTGTGATTATATCACTGGAAGAAAAAATGTCCAGGTCTGTCCATCATTTTACTCATGAGAGAAGGAAAAAATGACAAATAACATCCTCTTCCTCTCACACTACTACATCTAACCTACCCTTAACACACACACACCCCTCACACTCCCCGCCTGTCTAAACAAGATCTAGGCATCAAAACCCAAACCGAAAATCACAGGAATCTACCTTGTACAATCCCTTTCCTATTTCTATGTATATGAAAAGAGAGTACTTTTTACAGTTTGAAGAGCCTATAGGAGTTCAATTGTTTAAAATTTGTGGTAACTTTTAAAATTTAAAAGTTTAAAATTTTGTGAACACATTACAAAAATTATGGAACATAAATTCAGAAGCACTGAATTTACCAGTCATTCTAGAAAGAAGATAATCATAGTATATACCTTACTCTGTACAGTTTACAAATAGACTGAATTTACATTAACAGCCTTCAAGCAATTAAGACTTTCATGAATTTTGTAGCAGAGAGAAGGCACAGGGTCAGTAACTCACTAAGATTCAGCATTCAAGAGCTGAAAGAAAAACTGAGGGGGAGATAGAAAGGGAGGGGATTTTAATACTAAGAAATTACTTAAATACATGTACAAAATAGCAGGAATCTGTGCAACAAAAACGTAAGAACCTGGACTACTGGTGCAGGATTCAAGGACAAGATAGCAGACGACAAATACACTTGTAAGAATTAAAGCAACACATCAGAGTCTTATGCTTTTTGGTGTATCTGGTACACATGCAAAATCATCCATTTCTTATGCATTAAAGCAATCAAGGGGACTGGATGGTTGCACATTTCCCAAAATACAAGCAAGAAACAAAGTATGATGGAAAAATATTTGCAGTTTTAATAAAGAAGGACTATGCAATTGTGGTTTGGGGGGGGGGGAAGTACACTGTTGTGGAATTATGCACACTAAACCAAAAGTAATCTTTTGAATAGAAAAGGTTGCATTTATAAAGCCACAGAGAGCAGTTTCCCTGGGTCCAAGAAATATTTTGACTATAAATCACAAAATAACTTAGAAAACTGAGATGGGCTATTAGTAACAAAATGAAAACCTGCCAACTAGAAGTTTACTAACAACTAGGGGAAGGAAGGGAAGAAAGAAGAAGGAGGCAACTTGCAGGTGGAACACCACGTGACAAACAGGTCTCCCAAATTAAATTAAATCTTCCAAGTTCCCCTGAAATATGGCTGGAGGTATGAGTTGATAACAAGATTAACAAGCAGCTCAGGGACAAATATTATCAGGAAGGTTTTAAAGACCATGAGGTAGATCATCTGAAAAAGGATTTTCTGAAAGGTCAGCTTCAAGCATCTGTGGAAACAACTCTTCTGGAAGACAGCCTGCATTACTGACAGAATTTTAAACTTTCCAGGGACATTTTCACACCTGTTTTTAATACACTATTAAAAATGGTGAAGAATGGATAAAAACTACCAAGAGATAGGATGATGAAAACCAAACTGGACATTTTATGAGTATCATCAGTTATCTGCTTGTGTCTGTCTGTACGAGTCAGAGGTTTAAATTACCAGCATATGGTGGAGAACAAAACATGACAGAGTAACCACAGCATGGTGGGACAGCTAAGGATGCGAATACCGAAGAATAGACAATACTCAAAATAGGAATGAAAAGTAGAACAATGTTTGTCAGTGATGTGTCATATATGCAAATGACTAAATTATAAATGACTAAACTATATATAAATGGATAAATATAATGGATAACAAGAACTGAAATCTGTTTGGGTCAAATCCTCTGGGGAAAGGAGATAGGTAAAACAGGTTCTGTTAAAGATATTAGACTAATGAGGCATTTGCTCCAGCATCAGTGTTTGATATGGATACAGATCTTAAACATTAGACAAAAATAAAGTGAATTGTATCATTTTAGGAGACTAATTGCCCAGACACAAAATAGAGAACAAATCAAACTCTTAAGTGGAAAGGTTGGGTGATTCTTGAACCTAATAGCTGATAAATTTAAGAAACAGCTACTGAAGCAGCAAATGACTCCATTACTTCAAGACTGTTCTCACTAACTAATGAGGACATTGTAAAACAGCTGCTCATACCCTAATCCATATATTACTGCATTTTTATTTAAATAAAGAATTAAAAGTCCCAAATGGGTTTATAACTAGGTCTTTGAATTTCAGTGGCATACATCCAAATAATTTGATAGTGAAGGTTAGCAAAGACATCTGAGATATAGCAGAAGCCTGCCACTTAACACAAAGATGCTAAAAACTTGTAAGGTTCCACATCTCAAGTTGAAGGGGTAAAACTTGATGTCTGACAAGCCAATCATTGATAACATTGTGCAAATAAGACACGAGAAACATGGAGAGATCCTATCAAGAATAGCAGGGGACAGAGAAGGAAAAGACAGAAAAATCAGCACAGAAAGCTTATCTTAGGTACATAGTAAATAGTAAAGCTAAATTATACGTGAACAGGTTATTATACAAAAAAGTTACAGTATTTAAAGGCTTTTTTGTACCTAAGTAGGGGGGAAAAAAGGAAAATGTATATACTAAACAGGGACAATGGAATGAAGATAAAGGATATTCAGGAATGAACCCCCAAGCTTCACCATAATCCTTATCTATATTGTCTCAGACATGAAAAACAAATGACAAATGGAGAATAGGAACACTTTGAAAATTATTAAAAGTTATTGCAGTCAAAAATACTCGATTTCTCAGAATTATGGAAAGTGACACATAACATTGTCCTTTCTCAATCAAAAACTTTAAATACCACTTCTGTAATGACTGGGGAGCAGCAACTATATAGGCAATGTTTTTTTCAAGAGGGAAGGCACAGATTAATATATACAGTCTTAATAACATGCAAAAATGTATAAAAAAATTGCATTCATAAAATGAAAGGAGTATTAGATAACATTGTTAATGGAAAAACAGGTTATAGTTCAAGTTTAATAATGAGATTGTACCAAACAACCGTGTCACAGTTACTCCAAACCAGAGCTGCCTGACAGCCAGACTCATCAAGGTAAGACAGCTGTAAAGAGGGCAGATGCAAGTCTGGAATGTATCCATTGGAGCAGAAAGAGAAAGGGGCAGTGCAATTGTACAATATCCCAGTAAGACCACAGCTGAAATTTTATACATAATTCTCATTATAACAGTTAAAAACACACACATGAGAAATTTCAAATTGAAGCAGCTGCAGAGAAAGGCTAAAAGGGTGATCAGCTGACTGGAGACTGCAGAGTATGAAAAATACTTCATTTAGTCAGTCT